AGAGAGAGAAGGCGGCAGGGCGGCCGGAGCGCTCGCTGCTCGCCCTGCAGCCCGGGAGGAGGAGGATGAGGAGGAGCGGGGGAGCAGAGCGGCGGTCCGTGCGGGGCACACGCCCGCCCGCCGCGGGCACCCGGGGCGGGGTGTGGTGGGGGGCTCGGGGGAAGCGTGTCAGAGCCCCAGGGCCTCGGCGTGCTTGCGGGCCTTCAGCCGCAGGTCGGCGATGCTGGAGTTCTTGCTGTTGCTCTTGGCGGCAGCGGCCACCACGGCGGCGGCGGAGGCGGACTCGGCCAGGGAGGCGATGGGCAGCCCGAAGGGCGGCGGCGGGAACATCAGGTAGGGAGCGTGGGCCGCCAGGTGCGGGTGCAGGTGCGGGTGCGCGTGGGCCACGCCCTCCAGCTGCAGCTGCGCCTGGACCTGGGCGGCGGTGCAGAGACACGGCGTCAGCCCCGAGCCAGCGGCCAGGGGCACACAGCACCCCCGGCCCACCCATCCCCAACCCCGACCCTTCCCAGGAGCCCGGCGGATGGAGAGACCAACTTGTGAGCGGAGGTCCCCCTGCAGTCAGGGCGGCAAACCTCCGCACCTTGCTCAACCAAGGGCACAGAGACACGCTTAACCCTCCTCCTGGTGGCTTTAAATAAATAAATAAATAAATAAATAAATAAGGCCCAATGCATGGGCGCCAACAAGTGCTAAATAGCTAAATTTCTTTTTCTTTTTTTTCAGGGATGTTTATACCTTGCTAAAAACTCTTTGGCCACGGGTCCCTTCTACACCCGGCTAGTGTTTGCTTTGGAGCTTTCTAGACCTACACAAACACATTGGGTTGACTGAGAGATTTCAGCTTCAGGTAGGTTCGGGGAGGAGTGGGGGAGAGTTTATTTATGTATTTAATTATTTTGGTCCAAATATGTCTTTTAAAAATCAATACAATTAATCTGTCAGGTCCACGTGTCCCCGAGACACAGAAGGTGGTGGAGGGTCCCTTCGGGCTGGAAAAAAATCAATTCCCCGATTAATTGACCAAAAAAAAAAAAAAAAAAAAAAAAAAAAAAAAAAAAAAAAAGGAAAAACCGGCTAGAAGCGGGAACGGAATTTCATCACCCTAGTCCCGGTTTTCCCCAGTGGCCTTCCCCGGGAGGGTGCGCTTCTCTGGGGCACAGAGCCGAGCCCCGCAGTGTCGTCGGTGCCTGCGCTCCGCCACTGCTCCTATGCTGGCTGACCATCAGAGTGGTAGAGCATTTGGGAGCAGGCTTCCCTCCTCCAGGGCATCCATCGGAAAAGAACAAGTCTAAACAGCCCGCCCGAGAACAAGGACAACTACAGCGCAAGGGTCGGCATAGTTTTTGCCCCTCACGTTTTCGCCCACCGGGTGAAGAGCCTCTTCCCGCGGCGCTCTCCGGCGCCCGCAGGAGCCCGGAGCCCCTGGGCTGCTCGGGACCGAGCCGCTCCGTCCCCGCACAGGGCGGGCGGGCTCGTCCGGGCACTCCAGGGCCCACCCCGCCCGGGGAAGGTGATGCGGCCCCGGGAGGCCAGAGTGGCCTGCGGGCGGCCCTGGGGCCCTGTGCCAGCCCATCGCACGGAGGCGGAGGGGCCCTTAGCCCCGCCGGCGCCTCCTGGGGACCCCCCGCTCTGTCCCTGAGCTGAGCGCTGAGCTCCCGAAAGCCGGGCGGGGGCTCCTTCATGAAGTTTTACAGCCTGTTTTTAATACGTGCCAACTTCTATATAAATGGCACTTGTAAACGTGTCCGGCTTCCTCCGGTGCAAACGAATGGGGGTCGGAGCTTACTGAGGGAAAGTAAAGTAAAACTGGAGCTAACTACCTGTTGGAAAGGCATCCTCAGGGCTCCCATATTCACGTAGGGGGCTACTCTGCAGGCGTCTAAATGGCTGGCGGTTCCCAGGATCACACCTGCGGAGAGAGACAGGGCCGGGTGAGTGGCGTAGGGGCCCCGAGGCCACCACCCCCCTGCCGGTCCGCACCCCTAGCCCACCTTTGTGCATCTGGTTTTCCTGCTTTCGGCACTTTGCTCTCCTGTTCTGGAACCAGACCTGTGAAAAGAAAAAGCAAACAAAAACAAAACAACAACCGAAAAATGGAGGTGGCCTAAGCAGCTGCTAAGGGAGCGTTATCTCAGGAGCTAGGGATGGAGGGGTGAGGCGAGTGACTGCACAGCTTTGCTGAGGTCTCCCCTCGGGTGCAGCCAGGGCACGAGCTCGACCCCAGGAGGAGTGAGCCCCTCTCTGTGCTGCTCAAGGGCTGTTCAGGGGAGAGGTCGTGCTTCTTGTTGTGGTCCCTCAGTTGAACCTAGAAGAAGGAAGCGCCCTCGCAGCCGCAGAGTCCGGGAGCCTGCCGCTCAGCACCGAGTCTCAGAGGGCCCCGTATCCCCTGGGCAGACAGTGGCGGTCTTTCTGCCGCCCATCGGAGCGACACTTACAGTAAGACCACCCGCAGGACGGGTGGGACCCTCGTACCCTTCCTAGTCATCTTAAGCAGCCCGGGAAGAGCCAGCGTGGACCAGGTCAGACTCCGGGATCTGGCCCCCAAGAGACTGGACCTCCTGCCCTCTCCCGAGCTGGGGTTGAAATCGATGATCTCTGACACCATGCGAGACACTAAACTTTCGCGAAAGAGTCTGAATCATTCCCTATTCCCTAAATGTTAAAGGAAACAAAATCCGCCTCTGCAGACTTCTGGCCAGACAAGAGCAGCATCTTTTGCAGGCTGGGATGTAAAGAAGTGCTTATGCCCCTACCCGAGGAACGCCTGTAATTCGATAACACTTCCCCAATTCCAGCCGTTCTCACTCAAACAATCGCAGAACTTTGCAGTTGCCACTGCGCTTCCCGTGCCTCTTTTCCAGGGGCATTTCAGACCTTCATTACTTTCCCCTTCCGCCGTGCTCGATTAACAACTCTCCCCAAAACATCGTCAGAAACGCGGGCCAAAATATTTTGCGGATCATTATCTTTATACCAAAAAACCTACCGAATATGGACAAACATTGACTTTCACCGCTGATAAAATCTTATGGCTAAGTAAACACCTACAACCTTTGATGTTCTTGCACTTGCCAAGAGATCATACGGTTAATTAATACTAACTGCACTTCCTACATCAAATTTTCCCTTCAAGCTTTCTTCAATTGCCTTAATGATGGTCATTTACAACGGAGTAATTAGTGCAAAGAAGGGCTTCCGAAGGCATTAATTACCTCGGGTACCTCAGTGATTTTCTTAAGTAGGAATTGGCCTTCTCTGATTTAGCGCACCATTTTTCCTGCCTAGGGTGTCTGTGGGGGAAGCGCGCAGCGGGCGACTGCGGAGCGCCGCGGGTGCGGACAGATCGACCGACCGACCGACGGACGGACGGACGGACAGAAAGACAGACAGACAGACAGACAGACAGAGCGACAGACCCACCCACAAGTCCTGGTTCCTGTCCCTGACAGCAGTCACCAGCGCAACCCTCCCCGCACTAAGCGGCACAAGCCTATTTTTCCCTACCAGCAATACCCAAATATTAACAACATGCATCGCTTCTCCTTTTAACTGAACCGTTAGGGATTTATATGCGCGTACATATGCATTTAAATATGAGCATGCAAAATATTATCTAGCTGTAGCTACAATAATAGATTTTTTTTTTTACTGTGGTAAATCCTTGTAGGAAATCTCCTTGTGTGTGTTCCCCACGTCCCCCCCTCTACCTCATACCCCCGCCTCGCCAAAGCAGTGTAAATTGTCAGAAGAAATTTAAGCAGCGTTTAAACAACTTCTCTTGCAAATCAGAACATCTTTCAAACCGAAATCATATTTAAATCTGGAAAACGAAGTGCCCTTTCCCTTTAGCTACGAAAAAATAAGGTTATGAGGAATAAAAGTGATGAATTAGCCACTGCATTAAGCGATAATAAATCAGGCTTGGTGTGATTCGCGATCAATTCCAATTAGTCATGAATATGCTAAGTAAAGCACAGTACACTGTTTTAGACAGTTATTTCTTCATTAAGGATCACTCAGTGATTTCTTTCACAAATGCTCTAATCTGATTTCCTTTTGATTTCCATTAGAGACAGTGAATAATGACATTTAATTTAGCCCTGCACCATAAACCCAAAGATATTTGTTGTAATTGAATTACTGCCTGCTCCTCACTATGGTCTCATAACTTTCAATTATAACCCTGACAGCTGGATGATATGAGTTTCCAGTACAACACTAAAAATAAAAGGTTAATAAGGACTAGCTACCATAGGAGCTTCAATTTATTTACAGCAAATTTCCACGCTAAATTGAAACTATATCCTTTAACAGCAAGGGACAAGAGGTTCAGATAGGAATTAGAGAACAATTCTGAAAGTATTAGGAAAAAGCAAACAAACACCAACCTTTCCCTTTTCTGCCTTTTTCTTTTTTTTTCCTGCCCTTTTCTTTTTTTTTTTCTGCTTCCACTTATTGATGGATATTATCTCTCTGCTTATTTCCTAATTAATTATCAATTTTTCCTCTTTTTCCTCTTTATATTTATTTTAGGGATTTTTTTCATCCACACAAACCTCTTTTATAAAATTATTAAAAACATTTTTTTAATCTCGGTCATAATCTCCTCCTGATTCTTTTTGGGTTTTGTTTTGGTGTCGGTTTTTTATTATTATTATTATTTTTATTTTGTGTGTGTGTGTGCTTTTTTAAGATCTGTAAGCACTTGAAGCACCAATTTTCCTTTAACTATGAACATCCTGTTAAGGTGCTCCTCAGTAATAAAGTACTTGAAAGAAAGAGTGCAGAATTCAATTACAAGTAATTTATTTTTATAGAAACAGTACATCAAGGCCTTGGAAAGATATTACAGAGCCCAAGTAAGAAGATCTGGGAAGATGACATAAGAGTTGATGTCCCCTTCAGCAAAAGTTTAATCTTTTCATTAATTTATATGGTGTGGTTAGATCAATCTTCCAGGAGAAAGTAGGCCAGCAGCACTCTGAACCCCTGCAATATTCCCTGCAAGCTGCCATTCCTAAGGCATATACCCAGCACCATCCCTTGCCCTGCTCGGTCTGTACTTAGTCACAAGAGCTGAAGGGAGAATAAAACCTTGAAAGAAGACCAAAAAAAAATTAAAAAAAAAAAAAAAACAAAAAAACGAAAGCAACTTAGGTACTCAATTTATTTCAGGATTTGCCTCCAGGAGACAGTTGTTTAAAGCGAGGTAGTGGCTTGCTCAGGCAAATGCTGGCTGAGCAGTGTGCTGTCTGCTTGCTCTCCACGGTTAAGGAGGGGCTCAAACAGACCCCTCTCCCCACTCCATCTCGGGGCCGTGTTTCTCCACTTCCCGCTGTGCCCTGGGAGTGAGGTCAAGGCATGGAGGCCTCCATCTATGCCCACAGAGCCATACCCATGCCTGTGTGCAACCACCCGCACACTCCTATAGGCAGATATACATATACATGGGCATCTCTTTTCTCCAGGGTGTGAAGGCGTTTATTTCAGTGGAGGGGTTGACTTGGTGACTTTTTCTGCTTGACTTTTAGTTTGGTTTGTGTCTGTTAGACCAAGTATAGAATTTTAATCCAAGAAGAGATTTCCTTCAGGTTTCTCCTGTTCTGGGCCTGCTCAGAGAGCTACAGGTTGATATTTTTTCTAGGTAGATTTTTGTTAATTATTTCTATGTTAAGGAGGTTTTTTGTTTGGTTGAGGGGTTTTGTTTCTTTTAATATGACATCTGTTTTGTGAAAGCATTCCCTAGTTGGCTTGGGGGAAGAGGTAGTATTTTTCCTCTGCATCAAACTGAAAATCAAATTTAAAAATAATCGATGTGGAGCCACCCAAACAGACAGCTCTGGTGGCCCCAGGACTACAGCAACCCGAACCTATTTTCAAGATTTTGAAGCCTAATTGGCATTTAGCTGTCTCTGAAGCGGGATGGGAGGGACGGGGGGAACCTCCACCAGATGGGGTGGCATGCATTCATACGCTTGCTGCGCGAATCGGAGCCGGCACCTTTCCCCCGGCTCTGGCTAATCCTGTCCCTCAGCACCCGAACTGTCTAGCCTTATTCAGGCGATTGTTTTCTGGCCTTTTTCCTTTTTTTCCCTATAATGGCCCCATAGTAGAAAAAACGGGAAGAAAGTAAGGATTAAGGGAGAGTAAATGACACGTTTGCAAGGGGAAAAAGGAATTAAAAAAAAAAAAAAAAAAAAAGAAAGCTGTTGTTCAGTTATTAGAGACTTGTCAACACTATTACCACCCAACCATCCTACCCCATACACATACAAAAAAAAATTTTTAAACCGCCTTCCTAGGAAACGCTAGACACGGACAGATATTCCCAGAGCAGAATAACTGTTTGGCAGGACAGGTACAGCAGACTTGCAAACAGCTTTCCCATCACACGTGTCACCTCTGCCTTCACTTCCCCGTTCTGCATGAAACGGGGCACTGTGCTAGGATCCGCTGGCAGTTAGGAAGTGAGGTGAGCACGTTTTCAGGAACAGAGCCTTTCTCTTACCTGAACCCTAGCTTCAGATAGTCCCAGCCTCTGGCTTAGTTCCTCCCTCATGAAGGCATCCGGATAGTGAGTCTCATCAAAAAGTCTTTCCAGCTCGTTCAACTGCTCTAGTGTGAAATTGGTTCTGCTTCTCCTTTGTTTAAGCTTGGTCTGTCCGTCCTCATCTTCTGACTTCACATCTTCCCTCTTCTCTTTGCATTCGTAGATCCCTGCCGGGAGGGGGAAGAAGAAAACGACGCTGAACCTCCCCTCGCACCTCTTCGAAATTCTCTCACACAGGGCTCTCCCTCCTCCCCTCTTCGTCCCCAAACTCAGCACAACTTGCGGGTGCAGCTGGCAGGGGGCAGGAGGTGCCCGGGCAGGCCCCGGAGGGACGAGAGGGGCTGAGCTCCGCTACAGGCTCCGCTCCGGGCAGGGGGCAGCTCGCCCGAGGGCCCCAGGGAGGAAGGGAGCCGCGCTGCCCTGCCTGTCTGATGCCCTATCAGAAAAACTATACAGATAAATATCGTTTTCTTTTCTTTCCAGGCTTAGGGGAAGCCGTGCCGCCCGTTGGTATGGGCAGTTCGGGGAAGGGGTTGGTAGGAAAACCGCCGGCCCCCCGGTACCTCCAGGCAGTGGGAAGAGGTGGGGGAAGGGGTTTCTCCGGCGACGTTTTCTCCCAAAGAGGGTTACGCAAGAAGCTCCCTAGCGCTGTCATGGTGAAGCCACGGTGATAGTATTCGTCTCGTAAAAGAAACTTTCCCTGGGCATGAGACAGAGACTGCCCGTCTCTCTCCTCCTTAACAGCCATCTTTCCCCCAAAATACCTGCCAGCGGGTCGAAACCCCGGGGCGGCGGACACGCGCGGCCCTGTGCGGGACAGCGGGCTCCAGGGCTATGGGCCACTCCCAGCCCCTCCGGAAGAGCAGGAACCTTCCCAACCTTCAGGGACTCCAACAGGGCCCGTGGAGAGCTTGCATTCTTGTCCCGGGCAGGGGGGAGGCTATGGGGATAACGGGTAAAAACGTTCCCCTTTTCTATCTTGGGTAGGGAGATTTCTTTTGCTTTGGCATATTATTTCCTACGTTTTTATTATTATAATTTTTTTCTCCTTTTCCTTAATGGCGGGAGGCCTAAGGCTCTGTCCTTCTTTTAAATCCAGCTAACGAAAATAGGAAGAGATTCTGGAGCGAGGGACACACTTTAGGCTGAATCAGCTCCCCGGGATCCCCTGCCTGCCTGGGGCTCCCCGCCGGGTGCGCATCCAGCGCGGGCACCAGAGGAGTCCCGGGACGACCCTGCTCTGACTGCCTCCTTTGTCGTGCCTCACCTTCTGGGTGGTGTGGATTTGGAGGGGGGGTTGCATCTGCGGATGATCCCTAATTAATTCCCCTTTGGCCTCACCAAGTACACAGGTATTATATACATACATACGTATGTATACAAGCACAGAGAAATGTGAGCGTGAATATATATTAACCTATATACTTAGGGGCACCCCAAAATGTAAATTATAAACTGCAAATCGTAAATTAATTAAACGTAATAAAGCGTCCTGAACTGCATCTGGGCTTAAGTAAGGCCGGACCCAAGCCGAAGCATTCGTTTTCACTTCCAAAATGAAAACTGTCCCTGGCCATGATCGTTCCCCCGGGCTCCAGGCTGATACTGGCTGCATAAAACTTCGGGAAGGGTCAGGCCTCCGGATGGGGATATTCGCTGGTTGGTTTTAATGGCGTTTTGTTCTCATTTCTCCTGTAAAGGGAATCCCTATGAAAAGACGAGGGTGCTAACCCAGCAAATGCCTAGGGAAAATCAGTCGTGTTCAAAAGCTGTCTCTTTTCCGAGGCTATAGCATGTCCGTGATAGGTGTAAAATATTAACTAGCATATCGGTGGGACTGAAATCACACGCTGGAATCAGTTGAAATTAGACTGAAACCTGGCATGAATTTAAACTGTCACAAGCATCTCAGCTCTTTCCAACTCCTCCCTTCCATCCCCACCCCCAGCCCCTCTCCGTAGATTAGATTAGCTAAACATACAAGCCAGAATTTCGATTCACGGGGAAAAGGGAGAGTAGTAGAGGGGGGTTTTTCGTTCATTCTCATTCTATTTTTAATCCCTGAAGCATGCCCTGCTTTCATTTTTTAAAATCGTCTCCTGGGCGAATGATTCTCTTAAACTGAACCTTCTTGTTTTTCAATCTCTCGACCAGAGAAGGAAAATAAGCAGAGCTGAGTGGTACTGATTTATGCAGAAATATGGGTACCCGAATACATGATTATACCCTGCTCGTCTGTTTAGGGAGCAGGTAGAAAAGAGGAGGATATTAAATAAAAGTTTAGGCAGTAAATTAAATCTCCCAGTGTTATATTAAACAAGATCAAACAGTAGGAAACAGCTGAAAGGCTGCTTGTTGTTCCCCAACCTATTAACCAGTTTTTATTACCCCAAGCTAGCCAGTAGCTCCCCAGGCAGGTCCACCTGTCTAACTTGCCTAGAGACACTTTCTCAACTTTCTAATCCCCCCGTCCTTTTAATTCTCTCCTTCCCCTGTGAGCCTGTGAGGGGTTTTCAGTCGTCTTGCTTTAAAAAATATATTTTTTACAATTGTTGTTATTGCTTAGAGAAGGGATAGCGTTTTGCCGCTCGGTCGGCGGCGTGCCGTGCTGCCCTGGCCCAGGTGAGAGGACTGGCAGGGGACCGGGGACCAGTCGGCCGGGCCGGCCGGTGCCTCTCGCCGCAGCGATGTTCTGTCTCACCGGGTCCGGGCAGCTGCCCCACAGCCAGGCTCCTCTCCTGCTTCTCGTCCCCGCTGGCCGGAGCCTCTGAGTAGGACAGGCTGACCGACCCAAGACAAAATGTCCAGAGAGAGCCCTCTCCACATCCCGCTTTCTCCCAGAACAAGCAGCAGCATCCTGACGGCCCGGAAGCAGGAAGAACAGGTCTCCTAAGGCATTAAAACTCCCCGGACAAGGTTTCCTCGTACAAAAATACACAGATAGGCAAAAACGTCTGACGTGCTGCGCTGCCCCCTTCCCCCAGGCGAGAGAACGCCTAACGCACCGGATCGATTTCGGATGTGAACGGGGGCTAGCGGGGGGGCAGGACCGAAGTTGTGACTTATTTTTCACGGCAACGCTCACGTTATGCATGCAGGAGTACGTGTTCCTAAGCCCACGTTCCCGCCGCGGCGGGAGGGAGGTGACCGCGGGAGAGAAGCAGGATGCGGGAGGTGATCCCGCTCGCCCCGCCGGGGCCGGAGCCAGGGCCGCGCTGACCGAGTCGCCCCCGCTGCAGAGAGCCAGGGGTGGCCGGGGAGGGGACAGGGGCTGCGGGCGAGAAGCGCGGGGCGGAGGGCTCCCAGCCTTGCTCTTACCTTCCGCTGTCCTGCCCGTGTTGAACTCCTTCAGTTTGTCCTTGTCGCTCTCTACGTGGTCTTTGAAAAGATGCACCGGGCAATGGTTGCTGCTCTCGGTCATGTCCTGCAGGTTAGAATCAGAGTTTCCAAGCTCCCTAGACCGAGCCAACCCACTCTCCAAAACTTCCCTGTACGTGATCGTCTCCTTCTTGTTGCCGCTGCCACTGCCGCTGCTGCTCTCTTTGCTTTTCTGGTCAAAAGATTTGGATACAAAAGCCGTAAGTTCTTCCATGGCTGCCCGGTGATCTTATCCACAGAGATCCACTTGTTTTCAATCGGAGATGTGGCCGTCCTCCGCACGCTGTTTTTGCACGTAGAAGATGGGCTGTATAGGGTTAGATCACTCCTGCTGTTATTTATGCCTTTCAATTTGAGATCACACTATTTATACATGGCTACCTCAGCCCAACCCCCAGCTCTCCCTGTCTCCAGCAATTACTGACTGCTCCATAGTCGCAGGCGGACTCCGAGCAGCTATCTCCCCCACCTCAGTCCAGCAATTGGCTTTCTTTTCATTTCATCACTCTTTGGCATCTTTGCACCTTGATTTAGGGAGGCAAAGAGGCAACAGCGAAAAAGAGGGGGGGAGAGGGAGAGAGAGAGAGAGAGAGGGAGAGGGAGAGAGAGAGAGAGAGAGGAATAAAAGGGAGGGAGGGGGGAAGAGGAAAACATGAAAATAGGTATCTACATTCTGTAAATGGGTTGCAGAAATGAGAGTCGAGGAAGACTTAATTGATTTTAAGGACATCCTGTGCGTGGCAACACTGTAAGAACGGACCCACAGCTAACCAAATAACTGAGCTCCTGCAATTAAATGTATCGCTGTCAAGAGGAAAGGAAAATGAGTGTTCAATAAAAAAGGTAATGAATAAAAAGCCGGAGATGTGCATTTGTTGTAATCATTGGAAATTCTACCTGATTTGCTATTTAGCTAATTTCTCTTAATTAAACGGTCAAAATAACCGGCGAAACAAAAATGCTGCTTTAAAAGTGTTGCCTGTTCGGGCTGGCGGTGGGTGGGTGGGTGGGTGCACGGAGGGGGACGTGTGCTGCAGCTAAACAAGTTGTGAGGTGCCTCGGAGATCCGTGTCGGTGTGTTCGGAGGATCTGGAGTGAGTTGTTTGGCTGGGGGGTATCATAGGTAGGGAGTCTCCAGATGCGTGTGAACATTGCAGGATCTGACTCCTTGTTTATTGTTATTATGTTGTCTGAAGGTACTGTAGGGGAAAATTAAAATCTAAAATGTTTCTCTGAATATCGAGCTATCCTGCTGCGTGCAGCAGAGGGGTAATTTGTTAACACGGGAGTGTGTATACAACAAAGAGAGCATTAAGCCCTCTTTTTCCTATTTTTTTTTCTTTTCTTTTTTTTTTTTTTTTCCCCCAACGAAAATATCCTGCTGGATTTAACATAGAACCGGCAATAATTTCTCCACCTTGTTCTTGGTAGGCTGCAGTTATTTTTGTTGTAATCCTGGAATAATTATTATTCTGTGCGCTTGAATAGCTGCCTGAAATTCGTCTCCAGATAACAGCGCCGGCATTTCCAGCGCCTCTCCGCACCGTTTGATCCCCATGCGGAGTCGACTTCTCAGCTATTTATTCCTGTCTCCTCTCCTCGGGCTTTAACGGGAAGGGTTATTCGGTATTTGGAGGAATTTTGTCTTCTGGTCGTTTGGCTTTTTACGTCCTTCTCGTTCCCTCGCCTCGAGTTTGAGATAATCAGAGCCCATCATCACGCCACCCTCTGCTCTGAATCTCAACCAAAGGAGGCTCCTTGTTGGAGCAAGGGGCCATTGTTTCTTTTCCGGGGGAGTGTGGGACTGTTCTGAAAATTAGCAGAACATTAAAACACTAAAAATACGTTTAATTAATCCAAAGGTGCCCTCAGCACCAGAGTTAACACTTCCACAGGAGGAGGGGAAAAATAATAATCGAGGAAGCAATTAATAAAAGGCTTTAAAAAAAAAATCAATTTCCCCCTGTGCGAATTTAAAATGATTATCTAGGGGACAAGGATTGATCATTTGATCTCGGCACTGCGGATATCCCTGACATTTATTATATTGTCGTGTCTCGGTGGCATCCTTCCTCCAGAGTTCGTTTAACAAGTGAGGGAGCGGAGGAAGCCTTACAACTTAACAAACAGGTCTTGTCATCGCAAACGCCAATCAAATCCGAGGCTCTAATGTATATCACACGGCACCACATAAATAATAAAGGCAAACGATAGACGGGGAAGTAACGTATGGCTGAGGAAAGATCCCGGCACGACACGCTGCCTGTGCCTTTCTCATGCAGACTGCGCGTGTAGGGGCTCGTAGAGGATTGTTGTGCAGGCTGGTGCCTGGTGCTAGGGTGTCACGGACACGCGGGGACACCGGCACTTATTCCCCCGTGGGAGAGGCTCCGCACCGGCGCTGCGCCCCCGCCGCGGAAACTTTCCCCATCCCTCGGCTCGAATGTCACCCATCCCCACCGTGCCCAGTCTCCCTCTGCCTCCCTCGCAGCAAGCAGCAATGAAGGACAAATATTTACTGACTCCTCGTCCCCAGCGCCGGAGAGGCACGGTGCGCGTCGGCTTCCCCGAGCTGCCGGAGCTTGCACCGAGTCCGCCGGATCCCCTCTTTGGTCCCTCTCGCCCCCGTCCCGCTCTCCTCCCCGCAGCTCCCCCCTGCGCCCAGCCCCACGCCTGCAGCCCCCGCCAGCGCGGGGCCGCGCTCCTCCCGGAGCCCCCCGGACGCCTCCTGCCACTGCCGGGGCTCCTGCTCCCGAGGACAGCGGCAAATCCAAGCCTGCTCAGATAGACGGGGGGAAAAAAAGCCCTCTTGCCTGTTCCCTCTCTCCCTGCTTCCCAGCAGCTCCCGGTGGGAAGGTTGGTTGCCCCCTGCTTCCCGCAACGCGCAGTTCGGCGCGGGGCAGCCACCGGGAGCGCAAGTGGCGCGGCAGCCCCCGGGCCACCGCCACCGCCACCGGGCACCCTCGACGGCAGCAGGGGGGAGCCTTGCAGCCGGGGGGAACTTGCCTCAGACTCGCTCCGAAAGAGAAAAGCGAAACAAAGCACCGGAAAGGGAAAGGGAGAAAACCGGGGAAATAATAAAAACAAACAAACAAGCAAAAAATGACCAGTGCAAAGCTCAGGTCTCACGGGGATCCGGCCTGCACCCCCGCCCCGGACCCTGGCGGGGGCAGGCGGCGGAGGGCACAGAAGCGCGGGCAGTCCCGCGGGCGCGCACGGCCCCACGCACAACGCGGATCTCTGCGCGGGATGCCGGCCCGGCCCAGCCCGGCCCAGAGGCGCGCCAGGGAGCGGCGGGAGGCGGGGAGTGCCCCCGGGCTCCCCCTCTTTGTGCAGCCCGCGGCTTTGCGGGGACCTCGGGCAAGGTGGTGCAGGTGGGAACAAAACTGGGGGGCAGTTTTGACCCCACTGCAAACTTTGACAGCGGGTTTAGAGAGGAATTAGCTTAATTGCTCCTCCTGATAATGGGCTGGGGAGGAAGGATAAAGGGAAGGAGGGAGAAAGAGAGAGAAGGAACTGCCACCCAAATACCATTCCCTTGCAGGAACGGAACTCCTGGGACCTTGTCGCAAACCTAAAAAGTCACCAGCACTCCTCGGAACTTCCCTCTGCCCCCGGCTCACCGCTCCACCCTGGGTTCCTTTGCCGTGCCACAAGCCACCCCGCTCTCCCAGATCCCCCTTGCAGGACCGGCCATCAGCGACACACTGAGGGGTGTCCCGACTGCCCGGCCTGCCGGCTCACTTGAGGGCATCATGCCCCCACATCCTCCTCCTCTTCCCTCCCTAGTGCCCTGGGGCAGCGGGCAGGAGCCCTCTGCCCTTCTTGGGGTCCTAACTGGAGGAAAGGCGTTTTCGTTTATTCTACCCCCCTTCCTTTCCCCACCGCCGCCCCCACGGGGCTGATTCCTCCCCACAGACCCGAGCCCGCCCCTTGGCTGCCCCCTCCCCTGAGCGAGAGGGGGCATCTGCGAGCGGGGCACTCCGGACCTTGGACTGCAGAGGGGCGTTTATTTCGCGTGGTATCAATCCATGTGTTATTTTTTAATTCCTCTTTCAAAGGAAACTCTCATTGTGAGTTTTCTCCGAGTTAAACGAGAGGAATAATCATGAATGAATTTTAAACGTTGCATTAGCTTTAAGCATATCCGAGGCACAGTATTGAATTTCATATTTATAGGTGGAATTGACGTTTGTACATTTACCCGTGGTATGACGTAGGGCGAAACTGATTTCCTCCCACCCTCCCCCCTTCAGCTTATTTTGGTCGAAATGGGGCAAATAAGCAAACAAAAAAATCATCGGTTTAATCCACGTTTTAATAAGCGCTGACCCGAAGAGCAAGATTTTGTTGAGCAGATAACTGAGTCCTCTCTCTCCATCTCCCTCCCTCCTTCCCTCTCTCTCTCGTGATTAATTCAGGGACTGTAATCATGGACATTGTACATCAAACCTTTCTGCTCACGCTACAGACTCCTGCAGATCTTTATTGGTTTACATGAAAGCGAGTAAACATATTTCAGAGGATGCCCTTTCAATCTGGCTCCATTTCCACAGCACATAATTCCAAGGACAATTTGTTTTAATAATAAGAATGGATGCAGTGTTAATGGTTTTCAATTTGTGTTTTAAAAAAAAATTAAATATTTATAAGTATCGATCGAGGGTTTCAGGATTTTACAGACGTCTTAACACATTTCATAGATGGGATTTTTTTTTAATTTAGAAACCTGCGTCGTATTCTCTTTTATGCTGTTTATTGATTTAAGCAGCATCCGTGTCTCAAGCGAGAGACTAATAGATTTTCATTAAAATAGGCTCTCTTAATCCTGATTGTGAATGGATATGATTGATCCATCCAGCACACTACACATCTATAATATTAATAAAGGACATTATCATGGTAGGATTTGCTTTTCCGTCATCAGGGTACTTCTGTTTTTTCCCCTTCCTTGCAACCTTAAAGATTTATTTGGGAGCTGTAAAATAGCCCACAGGAGGGAGACGCTTTGGGAAGAATACATTTTTATATTAGTTTATTTTTTTTTTTTTTGGTGGTGGTGGTTTTAGTGGAAAGATTTTTTTAAATTTACAAACTGCTGTGGCAACATATGGTGAAAATTAAACTGTTTGCCCCACAAATCTAATCTTAAAACATTTATGTTGAGTTTTATTTTTAGAAAAACATTCTTAAAGGAGAGGAAAATAATTTTGTCTGAGAAGTAAAATAAAGAACGTT